AAAAAAATTACACTCCGCGCTCTTACCCATGATTGTGCCTACGGGTGCGAGTGTGGGTACACGTTTGATGAATACCGGTATGAGCACGGTTACTGCTACAGAAATTGTTGAAAATGCGGTATTCGCTAGCATCTCAATTATCAAATGAAATAATGTCGTTTATGAAAAGCAAGCCTGCACGACAAAAATCAGTGTGACGTGTCTGATGACGTCGGTGATCAGTGTCAGCGATAGCTTGTTCCACACAAAACGTCTATAAAGAACTGCATTCCGAGAATAAAGAAGGCAGGAGGCATGCTTCCCAGGCAATATCTCCACCAATGGGAAAACATTCGCTCGTATATGTCAGTCCGAGCATGTTGCGTCATTCTTGCCTCATTGCAATTGTTGTGGCAATTGTGATTATTGCCGTCATTGCAATTATTGTGCATATGGCAATTAAGCGCGTCATTGTAATTATAGACGTCATAGTTGCGGCCATTTTAAATTAGAGATTTTACCCTCGCTTAATCGTGATGATGAAAAACCAAACAACAATATCTTCTTAATAGTTTTTACAACCAACCCAGACCACTCGCAAATAAGTGCGTTTTGCACAATGCCAACACGCTCGAAGTGCAATATGGGGGGGGGGGCGGGGGGCAAAGCATGACTCACTTTAGTGCATATCCAATAGAACTGCCTTGGAAACACTCATGTGCGCTGTCAGGGAGTGCATACAGCTAAAAGTGAGACTGAACATGCACGAGCTCAGCAGACATTTCGATAAATGGAAGGGCCGAGTACACAAAAGTCGCTGACCAGACGGCCCAACAGAACGGCTGTCGTCATAAATGGCGTAACCGCTTGCATAGCGTGGCAAACGGTCTCTAGAAACATATCCCAGGAAAGCTGCATGTAGGCCAAACGAAGCTTAGCGCTCGCGACCGGTTTTGTGAAAGCACTGGAACGCACGTTTACGGAGGCGTGCACACCACGGGGTGAACACATGGTGGCCAGATATGCGTCATTTGAGCACAGTGCAACAAACACCGATCTTAATGTATAAGTTTTAGAGGCAACTAATGACTGAGCGGATCTCAGGAGATAAGAATTGTTGCACAGCCTCAGTCTTCTCCCGAGGTTGAACATACAAAACACCACCTTGGAACTTTGACGCTCCTGCGTCTAGCTTTGAGCAATTTGACATGCTTTTCGAGCAGCCTCGTCAGTTGTATGTCTCTAATGGGAGTTCTCCCAGTCGTTGTGGTGAGCACCGATAACGTCAGCAAGTGTCTTCTTATGTTTTTGCTCTGTACGTGTCATCGAAACCTTTCGGTAAAGCCACCTGCGCTTCAGGCAGCCCTGGTCCAGTACCGCATATTCGGTAGCTGTGTCAGACGCTTGATGACTGGGATGCTCGTAACGTTCGTGCGATGTTTTTTGAAGAGTGCTATTCTTGGTAAATAAGTATCCTGCCTGAACAAAACCATTATGCGTTCGGAAACAACTGATGGGCTAGGTGCATGGCTAAATAACAGGTACGGATGGGCATGGGACAGCCGGATGGGTAGTGGGTGGCATGGGACAGCCGCATCGGTAGAGAATGGATTGGGGTGCAGGGAATCTTATCAATGAATGCAATCAATGAATAAATAAAAAAATAAAACGCTTGCCTCTAACCGGACCATATCTAAAACCACACCGGACTGCGGATACCGGATGCCATAGCATGCCATGCTGGATGTCGGGTACCGGATACCGGACACAGGATACCGGATACCGGATACAGGATACCGGATACCATACCACAGCACACCGGATACCATACTCTACCGGATGTCCGATGGTGGATGCCATACCTTACCATAGCGATGCCGGATACCGGATACCATACCAAACCACACCGGATACCGGATGACATACCATATCAGATGACGGAGGTCGGATACCATGTCATACCAAAGCGATGCCGGATACCGGATACCATACCATACCACACCGCATATCAAATACCATACGATGCCGGAGGCCGTCTTGGAACTGCGCCGCCTCCGCAGATCATCATCGGCTCGAGGGTGGCTGGTAAGGTCACGCGGGTGACCTCAGCCGGAGATCGGGGCCAGCCCGGTCAATACGGCACACTTGTGGCGCCGGTGTGACAAGTGTGCTGGGCCGTCGTCACCTCGCCAGCCCACCTGTGGCCCGCCCTGGTGAAGGGGAGGGGGCAGCACTGGGCCAGCAGACAGCGAGGAGGTGTCGGCTGGGCTGCTGTCCTCCCGCAGCAGGGATCCGGAGACAGGTCAGTTTATGATGGCCCAGATGGACCTGCTGGCACTGAGCATGTGCCAATTATAGTAGTCCATGCTTTGTTGTACACGTCTGATTTGATGCAGCTCTTTCGTTTGCTGCATTCAAAATCCGACTAATGGAGGAGCCTTTTCCGTCTCCGTTTGAATTAAGATATGACCGATTTCCTATAGTATCGCGCTGAGGCCGTGAGCATGTTGTGTTATTGCAAACATTCTTAGTCCTTTTACCGCATATTTTTTGCGTGCCAGCTGCTGTTCACTGCTGCCATTTTTAGATCGCCTTTTTATTACTTTTGTCGGCCTCCACTGATGTGAGAAGCCAGTGGCCCCGGTTTTCCTGGTGGTTAGGATTGGCAGTTAACGCAGCAGGTCACCGCAAACCACTGGATTGCAGCCTTTAGGTTGGATTATCAGCCGTTGCCTTCCCTGCGCCGGTGGTGACATCTTTGGGACGCTGCTGACAACCGCAACCTGCCTCTACAGGTAACCGGCCCGACGCTTCGTCGACAGCTCACATCACTTGACCCCTCACATCTGCTGGTGTGATATGTGATGGTGTAACATGTCTGATAAGTGATGGCTCTTTGTATGCGACGGAGGGGTGCTGACACTGCCTGACAGTCTTGATAGCATTTAACTCGTCGGATGTTTTGTCCTCAATTCGTGATTGGTTTTGTGCCATGCAATAACAACGCTCATTCCATGGAGAAAAGAAAGGATCTCTTAGAGAAAAAAGAACGTGAAAACGCCACACAAGCCTGAAACTGTTATCCCAATGCCATAAGCAGCCATAAGCCTGTTATCAGCCAAACCCCTGGCGACAGCAGGAATTAAAGATGTAACCTCTTTGCGACACATAACCCCATTGTTCTAGCCTGTATCTAGCAGGTATTTCTCCCCATTCATAAATCAAGAAAAGCCAGCCCAAGTTTTCATTTAGTGACGAGTAGAATTTGGACATGTTTGCTATAATCATGTGGAGTATTTGTCAGTATTTGAGTACGTATGTATGTATTTGGAGTGTGTATCAGTGTTTGCAGTGCACCAACTGCAAATGTTATTTGCAAAGTCATCCATTTCCTGCATCAAACGTCACGCAGAGACGCAAGAGTGTGGCATGCCACTGACCTTCACAATCAGCGGTCAGCTTTCCATTGCCCCCCCCCCTCCCCCCTGGACGCTCGAGTTGCTGCATGCCCTCAGCGGACAAGGTCAAAGGTCATACTACTAACACCTGGCGTG